TTGTATAGATTAAAAATATGTTTACATGTAATCTTAATATTATAATAAAGCAAATGGAATATAGAAAATTTCAACCAAGTGTGTTAGCATAAAGATAAAGTTAGAAATTTAACACATAAAGATAAAGCTAGAAATTTTGATGGTGTCTCAAAGTTAAGTCTCAAGTATTCATGTTTCAAGAATATATCTTCATGAAGATTTATATTTTGTGAAAAATTTTGTAATTTAGTAGTTTAATGTATAGAATGTTGATTTCATATAGTGGTTTGTTTTTAGTATGCTTTAAAATTCATTTTGACTCATAATAATCGATTATCAACTAATAATAATCGATTATAACTTGTCATAATCGATTATCATGAGCAATTATGAAAATTTTCAAGCAAGTTTTTGATAGTTATGTATTCATTAAATACATAATCGATTACTATAAGTGGATAATTGATTATCTCGCGTTAAATAGCTGACAACGAATTTTTAGAGGTATTCTTGAGTGAGATCTCTCATTTTAAAATAGGAACTACATAAATTTCAAAAATCTTATCTGTTTTGCTATAAGTTGTGATTAGGGATGACAACGGGTTGGGTCAGGCACGGATAGTGTCTACCCGCATACAAAAAACATACTCGTTACCCGCCCACTACCCGTTGGATACCTGCATAAAAAAACCCGTATGCATATACCCGTTTTCAACCCTTGAAAAAAAATCATATAATTTTCAAAAACAGAATTGGATGCCCAACTCCTTTATTTTCAGAAATGAAAATGGGTCAAAAGCCCAAATCACTTTTTTTATTGTTTTGTTTTTATGTTTAAAAATAGACAAGCCCAAACCTTTTTTTTTTAGGTTTTCAGAAGCAACAAACCCTATGTTTCTTTTCTTTCTACAACTAGAGAAGTTCTCCCCGACAACTTCCTTCTCCCACCCATAGTCATTCCTTCTTCTTCAATTCTCTTCCCATTTTAAACTCATAGAACAGTCTCTTCTACATGTTGCCAATAACACCAAATTCAACCAGATTTGTAAAAAAATATAACAAAGCCAGGATCATCTTCACTTAAGCAAATATGGAGATGACAGCCTCATCTTTCACCTTTAACCTCTCCGTCATCGCCTCACGAGCCAGCAATCAAGTCAAAAGGTTCGATCTCCTCCTCCTGCGTCAATCACCGCCGGTCGATCCTCCTCAAATAGGTCGCTTGTGGCATCATGTCATCGCAACACGTTCACAGTCCAGAGTCACTCTCGCTTAGTTCGTCGTCGTCCCTGCTTCGATTTCGTGCAGAATGGAACACACGATGTATTTGGGTCAAAGATTCGTTGAGAGCGGCGCACTCATCAACACGCGACAAACGCTCGATGACGTTGCAAAATGGGTCTTGAAACTGTTACACCGGCTAGAGGAAACCCTAGTTTTGTGACAACAGGAAGTGAATGAGAAAGACAGCTAGAGGAAACCCTAGTTCTATGATGGAAGGGAGAGTGAATGAGAAAAAAAAGTGAGATTTAAGGTTTGCTTTTTTCTTTGACGACGGAGAGAGAATAAATAAGAAAACCTAATGGGACAAAATTGTAATTTTATTTTTCAAACGGGTAACAGGTATCCGTAGGTACAGATAGTGTGATATCCGAACCCGACACATTAACAAGCGAGTATTAAAATATCCGCTACCCGCGAGTACCTCTTACCCAAGGGTACTAAATATCCGAAGCAGATTTTACCCGTAGATACCCACGGGTACGGGTTTTTTTGCCAACCCTAGCTGTGATACGTGTGTTCTAGGTTTGTGTAGCCCTTGTACTTGTGGCTTGAGAACTTGGTGTGGACATAGAGCGAGAACTTTCACGAGAGTTGTGATTGAATGCAATTGTTGTTGCTAAGTCAAAGTCTTGTCATCTTTTGTGAATATTCAAAAGAGGTGGTCATCGTGAAAGATTCGAAGGAGATGTTCATCCCTTGTGGCTTTCAAGAGAAGAGAGTTTCATTTCTTAGAATAACAAGAGAAGTATTATAACCTTAAACTTGTTTATTTTCTTTATGATTTTAAAATTTTGTTGGTTTGTTAAGGTAGATCCTTAATTCTCATTTGAGATTAACAACTAGATATATGATTCTTATGATTTGAACTCATAACTTGTGTAATTTTCTCTCTTCCTTACTCCCTTATTTGTTTTAAATTATCTATAAGGGATTTAAATTATAAGAGAATATTTAAATATACGATTTGCAATAAGAAATCAATTCACCTTTCTCGTAGTTAAGCTAACCATTCCGCTGCACCACTTTGATAAAATGAAACATAAAGTGACAAAGGATAGATTTCTTAAATATCATGCTGGGACAAGTATCTCACCTTATTTAACACCTTTAGCAATCCATTTCATATCAATTACCATTAAAAGATAATGTGTTCTTTAAATCAAATGATCCTAATGACAGAAATTGGCAAATTATAAACTCAAAAAGTACTACAATCTTTGATCATCCCTATATAATATATATCAACCACATCAACTTGGTACTAAGGCCTTCTTTTCCGTGTTGACTGAAGATTAGAAATTTACATTTCTGAGAAACAACCATTAGATTAACAAGGGTTGGTAAAATAAGCATAGATAATATTTTTTTCATAAACAAAATAGAGAACTATTCATTACATTGTTGGGTTTTTGGTTTTTTTTGACAATTGTGATGATTGTTGATGAACAAACAATAGAACTAACTATGTATTGGCTGACTAGATGTATGAATTCCAGTTTTTTTTGAATGTTAATTTTTTTAAAAGTGTTTAGAGTATATTTGAATGCAAATCTTACCTTACAAATTGATTTTACAAAGTTAAATTAATACTTAAAATTCATATCTTAACATGACATGAGTCATAGATTAAAACCTATCCTATCCTAATGAAAATTGTGTTTATTAGATATACCTAATGTTATTAATGTCTATAATGGATATACCTAATCTCACTAATGTCTAGTCTCACGTGTGTCTATATATATATATATATATATATATATATCTATAATGGAGATACCTAATCTCACTACTGTCTATTCCGTCTGGTATATAATAGATATACTATAATGTCTATACCTATCTCACTAATGTCTCGTCTCATATATATACTATATGGATAACCTATCCCACAATGTCTATCTCACTTTAATAATTTATATATTATACATAATGGATATACCTAATCTCACTAATGTCTATCACCATCACATAATAAATTTTATGATATATATATATATATATATATATATTAAATATATAAATATCTATATATATATTAATATATATATATATATATATATATATATACCTTGATGAAGAAGATAAATATATTAAAAATCTCAATCAGAATAAAAATAAAATTCAATATAATATATATGATATGCAGATACAAATTTTACTCTTAAAATCAGTTTTTTTTAAAGTGTGAATTAGACTTAAAATTATTTATTTTTAAAATCTGAGGCCATCCTCAGATACATGGCCACAATCTCAATAGTTTCATAATTTTTATCATACTACCTATTCTCCCAAGAAATGGTAAAACGTTTGGAAGTATGTACAAGTGTGTTCTACTGACTAAAAAACAAGATGATATTTCAAGAGACAAGGGTATTTATACCATCATACAAATTTAACCTTACTGTGTGTATTTGGTAGAGAGCTTCATTTCCTTCATACAAACAATGGAGGAGAAATGCTTTTGTAACTGTATTCAGCTGGAATGCTTGTGAAAATCTTCAAGCAAGGATTTAATGTGGTAATATGAATAAGACTAGCATCATTCAGATGATGTCAAATCCGCTCTTCCATGACCAACAACCCTCTCCTCGCCAATCCTTAATGTTACCTACTGACGGTTCCGAATTCCACATGGGATGATCCATTTGAGGGAGACAAATCTGTTGTGACATTAAGTGTCCAAGCCATGATAGGTTATCCAGCTAGACCACTCTAATGCCAACAGCTGCCATTTTTCATTTCCTGTAATGCATTACAAGAAAGTTAAAAAAAAAAATTATTTGAATCATCCAAACTCACAAAGCTATTTGTGGATTTATTTGTAATGTATTACTAATCTTGATTTAATTTGGATATTGTATGTAGAAAAACTAAATCGTATCATCTCAAATAAATCCTCAGGGATGTCACATTAAATGGACACAAAGTTTATAGCAAGAGAAGAAAGATCTTTTGGATCTATTTGACAAAACTTTTAGAGTTAAACTAGATAAACTCCAAGGCTAACAACTATATCTGTATGTGTATGACAAGATAATTCAGAATAGGGCAGGCGGTGCTGAGCAAAAAATACCAATTACAAGTGTTAAATAGGATTTAGAGGTTTAAAAACCCAAACACCAGTTAAACCTTCACGTGTAGAAGCCTGAATTGAAAATGTTGAAGAAAAGAACAATCGAATGAAAACCTCTTCAAGAGTCCTAAGGTACCAATGAAGATCCATCTTGTGCGATCGAGAGGTTGATAATTGGGTACATAACTAACTGTACATGCCAAAGCAAGGTATGTTATAATTGCCATACAAAATAAATTCAAAATAGGGAACCTAAAACTGTAACAAGTGATTAGTGCAAGCACCTGGCACGGGCATGGTATGTAACCTCTCCACCACTCAGTGCCGCATAAATATTAAAAGGAGCATTTTTCATGTCAAACTTGAGTTCTCCACAAGGTACTAGCAGCTGCCCAAATGTATACACAGGAGGGTGTTGTAGAATAATAAGGGTGTCATTACAATCTCCTTCCTTCTTCAATATGTGCCTTGTACAATGTTCCTTTTGCCAAGACCATGCCACTTCATAAGGGGATTGCTGGTCAATCAAAGAGATCACAGCTGCAAATTGTTTTAATGGTTAGATTTTTCAGAGTAATTATTAATGGAAAGGGAAGATAAGAACATGCAACTTACATCCTTCTGCCGCCATTGTTTACAAGAGAGGTGATTTGGATGGTTTTGGAATATAGAAGTGGGTTGTGCAGATCAAAGTAGACCCTAGAGGTAGAGAAGGGGTTGCTGGGCGTTGTTGATGGGACTGTGGTGAAACATATGTACCTACAAATCATGTCTAATTTGCATATAACTAACTCTCTGAAATTATACCTACTGTATGTGTAGTGTGAAAACAATGGTAGCAATCAAAGGAAATTGGACGGAATGAGGGGATCATGGACTCACCCAAATCCAAAGTCTAACATTGCCACCTGAGTTCACAGATTATGAGCTTGCAAACAGAACATGAAAAGGGAGAGGAACAATCTTCTTCAAGCCCTTCTGCACATGATAAATATACTAATTTAGTGATCTATTTAAAATCATTTCATAGTATTTCTCAACATATTTATAAGGGACAAGTCCAATATATCAATATCAATGACTCAATTTGAGTTTAGAAACGACTTCCTTTCTCACATATTTAATTGATTCATCAAAATAACTTTTATATTTTCAACTAAAATAGAGCTAATAAAAGCATACACAAGCCACCAAGGTTTTACGTACCTGAGTACGAAACTCAACCAGAACAACCTCTCACACACTCAACGTAAGCAAAATAATAATGAAAGAATGGAATTGAACTAAAGAATTTTTTTGTTGATAGTAATATTTGAATAACAAAAGTAAATAATAATTGGGAGCATAACCTCCTTCAATTACTTGGGAGCATAACCTCCCTCACAAGATGCATAGTCGCCTGTCAACCAAACTCAATAATCACAAGCATACCCTTAACCCTAGACTCTATCTTTATTTATACTAATTATTTTCCGCTCATCCTATATTGAATATTTCCCTAAGATATATCCTTATTTACTGTAATTATCTATTCTCAATATTTCCCTAGGATACATCCTTATTTACGGTAAATATCTTATACTGAATATTTCCCTAGGATATAGCTCTATTTACTATAATTATCTTATACTGAATATAGCCCTATTTACTGTAATTATTTCTAAATATTTCTCGCCTATCCTAACTGTTGTCCTAGTTAGGATAGTCGCTCTTCAACCGTTCGGATCAGGTTCTTCGCTGCTTCCCACCGTTCGGCCTGATCGCTCCTCGCCTTCCACCGTTTGGTGCCCTTCTTCTCCCTCACCGCCTTCCACCGTTCGGATACTGTTCGGCCTTTACGGTCAATACCGTTCGGCCTCACTTTCCTCCTACCTTTCTTCTTCTTATATACTTTCCAACCCTTATCATTACCTCCCACCTTACACCGTAACAAAAGTACATGCCCCTGTTAGAAATCCCACATTGACTAGAGATAAGGCCAATTTATAATATATAAGTGAATACAAACCTCACCTTAAAAAGCCGATTTTATAAGGTGAGATTTACACCCACTTATATACTTTAAATTGACATTATCTATAGTTGATATGGGATAAATCACTTTTCCAAACAACCTCGTATACCTCTCTGGAAGTCCACCTCTTAACATGGTATCAGAGTCAAGTTAGAGCCTATCCTAACAATATTTGTTGTTTGTTGGACATATTGTTCCACCCGCTATCGGACCACCCATTAATGTCTCTCGACGTGAGGAGGGTGTTGGAAGTCCCACATTGACTAAAAATAAGGTCAATTTATAATATATAAGTGAGTGCAAACCTCACCTTGAAAGTCAGTTTTGTAGGTTTGAGTTAGGCTTAAAGTTCACATCTTAACAACCACCGAGAAAAATGAAAGTAATATTTGATGTAAGTGTCCCCACTTTCTAGCTGATACATTAATCAAGAACCAAAGAAGCTGAAATCCTCTCTGTTGAATCTTATGGTGACAAAGTCTTTTCCAGTAAGATCAACAACAATAGGATAAAAAAGTAATAATGGCAAAAGGGGTCTATGCCTCATTAATATATGAACCAAGTGGAGAAGAGGAGGACCCACAAGGAAAACCCTAGTGGTAGACCTCCATAATTGGTAAGTTGATTTTGCACATCTATGACTCAAAACGCTTCCATGGTAAGAATAAAGAAGAAGACCTTAGGGGCCGTTTATACATGCTATAACAGTTCATGATAGAGATGAAACCAAACTGCTTATGACACAATACTTCACAAATTGACAATTGAATCAGTAGAAATATTTTTGCAATTTTGTCTAGACGCATACTATTAGGACTCATAATGGATGCTAGATGGCACAATACTTCATAAGAACATCCCTCAGATTTCATTTCTCCTCAAGGGAATTCAGTCCACTACTTCCAATATAAAATATCATAGGGAATTCCATTTATGGACAATAAAGGGCAATAAATGCCACCAACTTATGTGGCCTATATATATGAAAGCAAGAAAACAGATCCAAAGTACCGAACAGATTAAGCCATCTACAGAAGCATCCACTTTGTAAACCCCAACCCTCATCTACATGTCCAAAGCACCAAACCAAAAACCAATACTGTCCTCTGGAAAATACTTCAATAAAAGATCCACAACTGCAAATGTAACAGCAACAACCAAGATTTTATGATCAAAACAGCTACAATGGTAACTGCATTGTCTGCAATTTCTGAAACATAGAAGATCACAATGAATCTAAATAGTAACAAGAATTTAAAACCTTGAAAATAATCATACGGTAACCGTCAAATTGATAAAAAAAAATAACAAACTTTTCCCATCAAAAGATAGAAAAAATAGAACTTGGTAGATTTTAAATTAAACATTGGTTAGTCACCCTTACACAACACATTATACTCCACTCAAAAAATGAAAAAGAAAAGCGACATTGAGCTTGATTATGAGATTCAATACTCCTATATCCCCAAGGCATATTGCCCTCCGTGTTGATGAGGAAACTAAGCAGTATGAGAAGGTTGGTGCCCTTCATGAACTACTTCATGATGCTGTTTCTCTTTCTACGGTTATTCTCCTTGCCTTGTCCAAACAATGTCTTCAAGTACTGGTCTGATATCCTGTGTAAAAAGCTTATGATACTCCATGGTATCATCATTGGACTTTCGAAGTTCTACCATGTGGAGGTGTGGGGTAATCTCAAAAGTCTCAGCATCAATACCTAAACTCCCTTTTCTGCCTTCTTGAACTACTTCATGATGTTGTTTCTCTTGCTATTGTTGTTCTCCTTGCCTTGTCCAAACAATGTCTTCAAGTTGGTCTGATATACTGTGTAAAAAGCTTCTGATACTCCATGGTATCATCATTGGACTTTGAAGTTCCACCATGTAGAGGTGTGGGGTAATCTAAAAATCTCAGCATCAACACCTAAACTCCCTTTTCTGCCTTCCTTAGAACCCTCCAACTTCAACAAGCCTCCATCTTTTTTCCTTACTTTCGAGCAAAGCTTCTTACAAATTTCTTCCAACTTAGAGATTATACTCAAAGCAGGCTTATTTGACATGAACCGCATCTCTTTCATGGGAACAGTGTCCTAAAAAATACCAGATAAATCAAACTCAGTCGAGAAGGAGATAATAGCAAAAGCAATCAAATTACAAGCGTGGTCAATTCATGTTTGATTCTGCAATAGGTGGACCATCATTCTTGCACGCTTCAAGTATTATTCCATCAGCATTCAGGTGAGCTGGTTCTTGGTTTTCGGTTGCATTAATAGCAGGATTCTCCAACCTCACTTTAAACCAAGAACATTTCATAATTCTGACAATTGATATCCTGGTCTTTGGGTTTGGATCCAATATTCTGGATAATAACCGGCGACATCTGTGCAACTTTTAGGAAATTTGAATACCCCTTTACTGATTTTCCTGTACGTCTCCATCAGATTTGAATCATGGAATGGAAGATGAACAGCCAACAGAACAAACAAGATTACCCCACATGACCAAATTACCGCTTTCATCCAATCATAACCTTTTCTGCTTATCACTGTCTGGAGCTACATAGGCAGAGGTACCACATTAGTATGGAGCAATCCATCTTGGCGTTTGGATTCAGTCAAGGCACTCAACCCAAAGTCTGAAACCATCAAATTATCATTTTCATCCAAAGTAAATATTCAGGCTCTAAGTCTCGACGAAACACACGCTTGCTATGGCAGTAGTCAACAACTCTAATCAGTTGCTAAAATATTTCCTAGCAGCATCCACCTTGAGCCTTCCTTTGAGTACCTTGTTGAAGAGCTCACCACCTTTTGCATGCTCCATGACTTAATAAATTTTGGTTTTAGTGGCCATTACCTCATAAGCTCAACCACATGCCGATGTCTGATTAATCTCATCACTGAAACTTCACGCTTAGCTGATCAAACAATTCAAATTTAAAAAAAAAATTCTTATTAATTACCTTAATGGCCACACTCATGCCAGTTATCAGATTCCTACCATGGTAGACCTTTGCTAAGGTCCCTTGCCCTTATAACCTACCAAGTTCTTATTTTTGCATAAGCACACCTCCCTTCTATTCCATTTTCTGCAGCACTTTTTGAATAAGACCGATGCTACTTTCAATAGTATAGTATACCAAGTATTTACCTGGTCCGGGTGCTTATGTTATCAGCCATCTTCACAAACATCACGATTTGACATCACACAATTGCTCAGATTTCCAACTTCCTGGGGCAAATGAGCATAAAACAGATATTCAGTGGTCTAAATATCCAATCTCATCAAGGACTAATAAGGCTAGCACACGAGGTGCTACAACTTCATTAACACTAGAGAGGCAACTCTTAACTTTCAACCACATCTTTCAGCATTCCCTGGTTTTGGTAAAGGACACTAGATAATACCGAAGATGAACTCCTTGAAGCATCACCCGCTTAGCTTTCAACCATCCAAAAACGAAACATTTAAGGAAGGCACGTCTGTGTGGCTCTGTAATCGGAGGTAAGCAGAGAACTGAGTAATTAGCAAGAGAAGGGAAAGAAGAGTAACAAAAATTTGCCGTCGTTTTATTCTTTGTGGCAAATCTTGAATTCCGTGGGCGCAGCTTCTTATATAAACTCACTTCACCTGATTTGTTGCTACATTTAAGACCCAGTTCATTTTTCACTCTTCAGAAACTTTAACTAAAACAACCCTATTGAAAAGAAAATAAAATCAAACCTCCTAGCTAACAATACACACGAACAGTAAGCACAACAAAACAATCAATAACAACGTTAGTCTTGTCCAAAGCACGCAACACGTAAACAATAAAACAAACACTCATTAAAAGAAATTCTCAATGCATCAAAAGAAATTCTCAATGCATCATGACAAAGGGTATTGGTGACCTACCAGTCCCCCCAGTCACCTTCTTGGAAGCGGCACAACACAAGTACATATATGAACGGTTTAGTTTGTACTTATAGAAGACAAAACATAGTAACACATTGCAGTCTTTACACTAAGATTTAAGTTCATAAGCCAAAAGCTTTAATTACAGAATTCAATACAGTAATATCAGAATAATAGAAGCTGGGACGAATGGTTTTACAAAATTTAATAACCGAACGTCAGAATTTAAAACCTAACGTCTAAACTCTAGTATGAACGAGCGTGCTAAGGTTCGGCTTTAACTTCCACTTCAACCAGGTTTTCTTCTTCAATCACGTCCTCCAAAGTGGCCTCGCCTTCTGCTCACATCCACACGGATGATCATCGCAAAGACAGGACGAACGTACATAGACAATGGACAACACAAGGAAGCTTATGTAATTTAATTCATACATCAACATATACATTTAACTTTTCAATTCACACAACATGTAACTTAACATATAACATCATAAGAAATATATAGTACTAGACAGACCGTCCGGACTGTATGAATCTGTGTAGCTACAAGCGTCCTTGAACCCGAGTGATGTAGTAACTGGGATACACTCAACAGCTGCCACTCGAGGTTAGTCCTATCCAAAGTACCCCTAAGGAATAGAACCTCCTGTCGTTCCCACACATGACCTACCCCCTCTACATGAGGTGAGTACTCACGGAACATCAGGATGGACCAGCCAGCATTAGCATGCCCACAGTCATACTTTACCAAATTTCATATTCATCCATACATGAGTCGTTCCTCCCTGGAACGCTCGTTCAAATTCCATAATCGTATAATCATTCAATATAATGTTCACTCTTCAAAATTTTGTACTTTATTATCATTTTCATCTTTAGTTTTAGAGACATAAAATAACGAACGTTCAGCCCTCTGAAGAACGAGGACGAGCATTAAGAAAATGGACTGAATGAACTAAGAAATCTGTGACGGACGCTACTTTCTATGTGGTCAGTTAAATGAACTAACTCGTTTGGATGTACACTGGTACTTAAAGAAAATTTCATTATGAAGACTTTAGACTGGATCCAATGTAAGAAGAAGAGCCAAGAATATTTATAACTATCTTTGGAGTAAATCGCATACGGAAATCCGAATGCCAGCAAATGACCGAACGTAAGAAAAGGAATTATTATAAAAATTGAACGAACGCTATTTTATCAAAGGTAAATATACAATAACACGAGCGCTTGGTATAAGACCGAGCATTATTTAGAACGAACGCTAGGTATATGACCGAGCACCAATTAGGACGAACGCTTGGTATAAGACCGAGAGCTCATTAGGACGAACGCTTGGTATACGACCGAGAGCTCATTAGGACGAACGCTAGGTATACGACCGAGCGCTGCTTATGACGAACGTTAGGTATAAGACCGAGCGTTACTAATTTTAAAGTATAAAGGTATTCGTATACCGCTAGGCTGAACCGTACGCTCAAACATAGCATTTCACAGGAGGACGCTCGTTCTCAATCAGAACTCTTTCCAAATGAAAGAATTCCTTTTTAAGCAATCTACTAGAAACCGAACAGTATAAGACCGTACGATGACAAACGTATTTTATCATAGTGGGGAATTCATATTCAGATTTTCATCTATTTCAAATCTCAAGTTTCCACATATCAGCTCATACCTTATAACTTCATATCAATATCAATTTATAAACTTTAAATGATTCACATTAATCAGTCATACTTCAAAGTGATAACTCATTTCCTATTCATACGTATCAATCATCAACATACAGTTCAACCAACATATACAATATTCATTATAACAGCGATCGTTCATAACTAATCAATCAGCATACATCTCATGCATCCAGTCCATATCATGCTTTCATACATCATACAAGTATCAATTAAATTAATAAGCTCCCCTTACCTGGATTTGAGACCAAATCGTTCTATATGTAAGAAGTGTGGCTCCACCAGCTAACGTTTTCCCTTTTGACAGTCACTAATCTCTTTCAATCAAATCTATCCACAAGAAAGTTGGGGTACTTAGACTACACACTTGCATGCAGCCAAAATTTAGTTTTTCAGGAACCCTAAAAACGAACTACTAAGGGAGAACTTACCAATTTCAGCTTTTGAAACTGTTCAGTCCAACTTGTAGCTCACAGCTCAGCGAACGCTCCTATGGTTTCTGAAAGTTGATCGGAGAAGAGGGTGGTGAGTTACAGTAGAGAGAAGATGGAGGTTTTCTAGAGAGAAGGTGGAGAAAATGAAAAGTCTGATTCTGAGGAAGAAGAAGGGTGCGTGCAGGAGAGTGGGAGGGTTTTTCAGAAAATCAGTTTTGTTCAACCCACGTCCAAACGGACGAGCGTCTCCCCTGTCGACACCTGCACCCCCACTACTGACTTTAGAAGCTTCTATTGTGACAAGTGGCGCTCATGCATGGACTGCAGAGTGGGTTATTAATGGCACTGAGCAAGTGACGTGGTGCATTAATTATGATTTGACAGAGGATTTTGCAGAGTTAATTTTCTAAGGTCTTACACTACTCATTTTTGTTCAAGTCTCGAAAACTCACCGTTAGAATTATGTTCTCAAAAAGATATAATTTTGTTCTTAAAATAAATACAAAAATGAATTATGAGATTATAAAGAAAAAAAATAAAAGAAATCACTCCTTTGATCAACGAAAATCTGCACCCAGAAAACCCAATTTGTTAGAAGCCATAAAATTGGAACCTCGAGTCTGCGAAGGATAAAGGGAGATGAGAAGAAGGCCAGGAATTGGAGGTTTGCAGACGCACGCTGCTGCGAGGGATCAATTCCGTTTGCTGGGTGAAAATGTCGCAAAGATCAGAACGGATTTGATGAAGGAGCAGCTTGCCACCTTTCGCTCGCAAACACAAGGTCCTCTTTTATTTTTGTTTTCTTCACCCCACTTTTTTTACCCTCTTGTTTATTTTATTGTGGACAGTGAAAGCCATATTGTGGTGCTATGATGAGTTGGTTTTTTTATGCTGAACATGATGCTTAGTTTTCACTTCTGTCTTGATATTATTGGTGTATGGAGGAAGAAATGCTTTTGTAACTGTATTCGAGCTGAAATGCTTGTGAAAATTCTTCAAGCAAGGATTTATGTGTAATATGAACAAGACTAGCATCATTCAGATGATGCAAATCCGCTCTTCCATGACCAACACCCTCTCTCACCAACTCCTTAATGCTTCCTACTTGACGGTTCCGAATTCCACATGGGATGATCCATTTGAAGGGAGACAAATCTGTTGTGACATTAAGTGTCAAGCCATGATAGGTTATCTAGCTGGACACTCTAATGCCAACAGCTGCCAATTTTTCATTTCCTGTAATGCATTACTAAGGTAAAAGAAAAATTATTTGAATCATCACAAACTCACAAGCATAATTTTGATTTAATTTGTAATGTATTACTAATCTTGATTTAATTTGGATATTTATATATGAAACTAAAATCTTATCATCTCAAATAAATCCCTCAGGGAATGTCACATGAAATGGACACAAATGTTATAGCCAAGAGAGAAAGATCTTATTGGATCATATTTGAAAATACTTTAGAGTTAATGTTAGGTTCTGGGTTGGAACCTAACAAGAAAACACTCAAAAGATAGAAACAGAAATGAAAGAATGAGTTTTGCTATTATTCACAGTAAACGAATCTCTTTACAAGGACTGGGTTTCGGAGCATAACCTCCCTCTAGAGAGCATAACCTCCCTCCGTAGGATGACAAACCCTGTTAGACTACAATCAAACAATCGACCCCCCACTACAATTGATTATTTGCTATTTATACAACCAATAACCCCGATCTTCCTAACTGTTAAGGCAGTTAAGGCAGATGGGCATTTAATGTTTTATTCCTTCACTCGTAAACTCTCCATCCCTAACATTACACCCCGCTGTCGAAAAACCTTGTCCTCAAGGTTGAAAACGGAAGGCTTGATCTCATGGCTCCTCTTCATCATCGTGTACTCAT